ACCAAAATTCTGAACGAATCTGAGAAAAAAACGTTGAGGGATGGCTGAGTAGTGCGACTACAGTCTTCACCCGAATAGAACGCCAGGTCATTCCCGCTGCATCTGGACTGAAAGTTGCTTCAAATGCAGCTATAATAACAGGGTGTTCTATTCGGGTGAAGACGTTAGGCCCTGAGTTAACATTTAACACTTCTCTCAGTTGAGGCCTGTGAAAGGATGGGCCTGCGCTCCACTCTCTTCATGCACAAAAGAAGAAAAATATGGGGGTGTACTTTCCCATGTTGTAAGGGAAGATTCGTTGACATTTTGCACATTTGGTGAATGGTGGAGTGAGGCCCGATGACACGCATAAATCGAGAAATCGAGAAATGGGTGGGGCTCAGACCGACGGCTAGGTCTGTGTACCTTCACAGTTTTAGGATAGGGTCGGTATAGATAATAGAGCTTGCAGCAATTTCGAGAGAGTATGTAGCAGTGTTGAAAGAGGAAGCAGGTTTTCTCAGTGAAAGGTTCAGTAGGCTGGTTATTGAACATTTTGAGAGAGTATGTGTAGCAGTGTCGAAAGAGGAAGTACGTATTCTTTTTTTTGGGGGGTAACTTCGGCGCAGTCACGAAAACAGTTTGTAATTGCACTTCAGGCAATCCCGCGAATACAACACACCCCCACGTGACCCCACCGGACCCGAAACGTAGGTCACATACATTCAGCATTACCGGCCCTTTTGCCTCAAGTGCAATTACAAACTCAATCCCTGACTGCGCCGTAGTTTTCTCTCTTTTTTTTTTTTTTTTTTTTTTTTGGAAAGCATTTTCATTTCATTGATCAAAAAGGAAACTTTGGGACGAGGCCGGGGACCTCACAATTCGATCGGGAGTTATCCCGGCGGCCTCAGCCAGTTTCGCTTACGAGCCAAGCTCGACTACCAATCCCAGCTGATCCAAAATTCTCAAAATATATGCTGGGAACCGGGCCCAGCGTCCCTTCTTTAATAGCTTCCCAAAAAGTAAGTCTTTAACGCACAAGGTAAAAAAGGTGAGCTTTCTGATACACGCTGGGTCTTCAGCTCTCTTTGCACAAAATCTTTCACAATTCTTGACACATTCTGACTTTTACCACACCGTGCAGAGAACCTGCACATCTGAAAAAACTCCGCTTCTGCCTAATATGGCCTGTACCCTTAGGCAAATACTGTCCCAGTTATGTAGTCTAAGCTAAAAGAACAGCCTAAGACGGCTGTAACCACCGTGAGATCGCCAACTTCCCATCCATGGAGACTGAGGCCAATTGGTTTCCCAGTGCCCAGGTGTTGAGGAACCATTGGCGAGATCTCCCCAGGGGTTGCAAACAGGACTTCCAGTCTGCTAGAATAGTCCGCCTCAAAATGGATAGAACCTACTGTTGCTGTTGGGATACCGAAATCTTCTCGCCTGGCTCTCCAAATTTCTTCCAAGATTATCCCTCTGCATACCAAAGCCACATAGCTGTTGGGATACCGAAATCTTCTCTCTCTTGAAAACCATAGCGTTCCTGGCTCTCCAAATTTCTTCCAAGATTATCCCGGAAGTTCAACGTGGCTTTGGGGAGAATGCCAAACAAAGTCCAGTCGTCATTCCAGTCAAATGCTTCCCCTGCCAGACGTTTCCAATGGGAAATCCACCACATGCAGAGTTCGTCTGCTAGTGGGCAGTACACCCATAAATGGCCGTCCGACTCCCACCCCCAATTGCAGCGGGAGCAGGTGGTGGACAGGTCCATGCCCAGGGAGGCAAGCCATTGGGCAGTGGGCATTACAAACAGCGACTGCAGCCATTATAGCAGACTCGCCGTCTTCTGTGAGGGGATACGCTTCAGGGCTTTCCACAGGGCAGACCATTGAGGTATTGAGGTCTCAGGACCCTTAATTTTGATAAACCTGCGAGAGGCCAATGCTGTTGGAGTGTTGGTATCCCCCGCTCGCAAAAGACTCACACCCAGTTTTGTCTTGTATTGACACAAATAAGCGAACCCCTGGGCACTGTCCTGCTCCATTGACCATTTGTATTGCATGGGCTCCACTCTGAAGCTTGTCCCTTTTCCCAGAAGATAACTGCATTTATGCTCATGAAGAACCCTTGCCTCAGTCAATCCTTGTGAGCTTGAAATTATCTTGTCATGCGAGAACCTGAGCGGACCTTTTTCCAACAAGGTGATGCTCAAGTGCCATTCTTCAACTTTGATCCCCCTGTCCAATTCTGGGCCCAACACCTTCCAAAGCTTATGGCTGTCGTCCTCTGAGAAGAGCCATGCACCCTCTCCATGTTCAGACTCAGATTTCAGCAGCAACGTCCAGTGCTTAGGAAATGCCCTTAAGAGTTTTCCCAAATTCTCCTTGACTGATCTCAGCCGCGCCAGGGTGGCTCGCATCTCCTCCCCTGAGACCCAATCATTCGTGACCGGGTTCCAGAGGTGCTTCACCTGCAACACGCCTAAGTAGGTATTCTCAGTGAAAAGAGTCAGTAGGCTGTTCATTCAAATGTTGGAAAAACAGTTAGCACAACACTTGCTGAAATCAATAAGACTGCAAAAAATATTCTTAAGTTTTCTGTGATATAGGACTATATACCCAAATAATATTTAGCATTCAAATGTTGGAAAAATAGTATTACAACACTCGCTGAAATCCTTAAGATCTGAAAATATATTCTTAAATTTTTCGGATATAGGACTATATACCCAAATAAATTTTTCGGATATAGGACTATATACCCAAATAATATTTAATATTCAAATGTTGGAAAAACATTTATCACAACAGTTGCTAAAATCGTTAAGATTGTAAAAAATATTCTTACCTTTTCTCTGTTATAGGACTATATTCAAAATCTTATTTAACGTTGGAAACCGTTTTCACTTGGAGTTTCTTTTCCCTTTGAATCCTTCTTTAACACGTTTTCATTACTTTCTCAAATGGTTATTCGTTTCTTCATTACTTTCTCAAATGGTTATTCGTTTCTTCGCAAGATTCCATTAGTTGCTTCAAACTATTTTTTAAACGAGCCCTGGACTCGTTTTCTCAGTCACATTTGCCTTTCCGTGTTAGAGGAGTGAATGTTGTGCTTGCTTGGAACGTTCGGGTTTTAAAATTCGGTCTCGAAAGAACTTTCTTTGTTTTTGTGTGTAATTTTGTGTTTCTTTTGCAAATGTCACCGAGGAACCTCCTTTTTGTCTGTAATTTTCGGTATCGTTTGCTACTGACACCAAGACAACTCCTTTTGCGACCTAGCCCCGGGTCGAATTGTGCGGTCCCCGGCCTCTGGTTACGAACATTTTAAATAAATAAAAAAAAAGAAATGGGTGGGGCCTAGCTCCACTACTCACCACATATAAAATGTACACCAAAGACGAAAAAATATGGAGGTGCATCTGTCCATGTTCCAGCGGAAGATTCATTCTCACTTTGGACATTTGGTTTGTAGTGGTCCAAGGGCCATCGTCCAACCAGACAGATTTATTTTTTTATTTTTTATTTTTTTAAATCAGACACAGAAAAGAAAGAAAGCCCTCGCGCGAGTATATGCCCTGATTGCAATTCCTTTTTTTTTTTTTTTTTTTTTTTTTTTTTTTTTTTTTTTTTTTTTTTTTTTTTTTACCTGATTGCAATTCAGGAAGTCCTCGTGCGAGCACATGCCCTGAGTACCTGATTGCAATTCAGGGGCTAGGTCCCACTTGCGCAAATTAGGAGACAGATGTCGGCCGTTGATCTTTGCTATCTACGGTCAGTATCTCTTAATTCGTGCAAGTGGGACCTAGCCCCAGGTCACACAATCGAAAAGCTCCACCGTACGGGATTCGGTCCGCGACTGTCAGACATTCAGAGAAGAGAAAAATCATGGCGGTGTATCTTTCCATGTTCTAGCGGAAGATCTACTCTCGTTTTGCACATGTCTAGAGTAGAGTAGAGAGAGGCCCGACGCGTTTCGAGCCTTGAGGGCGAAAAGAATGGCAGCCAGCGGTAATGTGACTGCTCCGACTTTAAGGAATGATAGGTAGGTGTGCTGGCTTGCCGCTGGCTCTGCTGAAGTTGACATAGAAGAAGTGCCGCCGCCCTACACACCAGAGTCTCAGGTACGCTGGCTGCTTTTCTCTGCCTAGATGCTGACTTCGATGCACGACTCTCTCTCTCTCTCTCTCTCTCTCTCTCTCTCTCTCTCTCTCTCTCTC